CTTGCTGTAGGGATTTGTTCCTTCTTTTGAGTTGCTGCTCCATAGGTATAGGTCAAGTTCATCAGATTGTATCAGCTCACTTTTTTTTTTTTTTTCCCCTCTTCTTTCTTCTCCTGGTTGAGCTCCAATCATCCAGTCATCTGGTCCAGGTCACGTGGGTATCATCTGCAAGCGTGGGCGCTCCTGTGCACATGCCCTCTCTTCCCATCAGCCGGTAGTTCCACTCTCCTCTCGAGTCCTCCGTGGCTATGCCACTGACTCTGGGCCCAAGAGTCCCCAGGTCTCCTCACGCTGCTTGCCAACCAGGTCCCTAACTGGGTCCACAGAAGTCCACTGAACACTGTAGGGCTTAGCTTGCCGCTTCATTGCTGCTTTTACCCCATTTCCCCCCATCGGTGATGTGTGTGATCACCAATCAGAGCGTGCATTTCCCTTGAGTCTTCGTTTTGGAAGGGGGTTTGTGTTGAGAGAACCTGGCCACTTACCTTGATGTTTCCTAGGGAAGCGATTTGTTTGTTCTTGTGGTAACAGTCCATCTGCCTCCTTTTTTCCTGTAGGTCTTTAGGTTCCCTCTTGAAAGCTTGTAAGCCGGTCACTTCTTGCCTTTGTAGCCACCCCCCCCACCCCCCCATTTTGGGTAGCCAATGTCCAAGTTGCCCATCCCTGTCTACTCTGTGTGTGGAGGAGGTGGGAATGATTCTTGCTGTAAGGATTTGTTCCCTCTTTTGAGCTACTGCATCCATAGAGATAGGTCAAGTTCATCAAAATGTATCAGATTACACTTTTTTTTGCCTCTTGTTTCTTCTTCTGGTTGAGCTCTGATCATCCAATCATTGAAGCCAGGTCAAGTGGGTATTATGTGCATGTGTGGGTGTTCTTGTGCATATGCCTTCTCTTCTTATCAGCTGGACACTTCACTCTCCACTCTAGTCCTCTGTGGCTATGTCACTGACTCTGGGCCCAGGGGTCCCCAGGTCTTGCCACACTGTTGGCCAACCAGGTCTTCACCCATGTTCACAGAAGTTTATTGAACATTGTAGGGCTTAGCTCGCTGCTTCATTGCTGTTTTTCCCTTACTTCCCCTTATCGGTGACGAGCATGGTCACCAATCAGAGCATGTATTCCCATTGAGTCTTAGTCTTGGAAGGGGGTTTGCACTGAGGGGACCCAACCACTTGCCTTGATGTTTCCTGGGCAAGCTGTTTTTACTTTTGATACATTTTCTTAAAGGCACTTAACAAAATATGCTATGGGAAATTAATTTCTCTAATACTTCATCAAAATAAGTCTTTTGTGACTAATTTTTTTTTTTCAGATTAAGTCAAGAACAAGTCGTGTTTCATTGATTCTGACACTATGGAGCTGTAAAATGATTCCTCTCCCAGGAATGAGCATACAGGTTCTCAGCAGACATGTCCGCCTCTGTCTGTTTGACGGTACCAAGGTGAGCTTCCTAAGCAATTGAATAAATTCACTCCAAGATGGAAAAGCATTTTTAATACCACACATTTAAAGTATGCCACATGATATGTGGGTGTTTCTTTATACACCCTCTCCTCATTATCAATATGGTTAGGTTCCAAAGACCAGGTCATTAGGTGAAAATCATGTTATGCAAAAATGGAGGATGACCACATCAGATCACAGAATGGGTACTGACTACATTATTACATAACTACCAAACTACATCATTACATAATTACCAAACCACTGAGGATCATGGCCTAGCCAAGTTGACACATCACCTGAACCATCCCAGCCACTGTTAGTTTTGCCTTGTACCTTGTTATTCATTACTGCCCGACATACATCATTAATGCAAAAAATAGTCTGATAGTAGATTTTTTTGCTATTGTTATAAGTGTGAAATTTTGGATAATGAGATAGTTAATAAGTGAGGAGAGTGGGTATATATGAGGAAAAGTCAAAAAGTATTGCTACTAGGCTTCCAGTTCATATGTGCATCAATTTATTTCAAATGAAGCATGTTTAAACATGGCTCTGTGCTCAATGGATGACTGCAGACAAGTTCTCTCAGTGATACATTTGTCTGAGTCTCCTTAGGGTGCCTTCATAAAAAGGTCTAATCAAATCAGTGGCTTCAGAGGGGGTCTGGTAAGCCAGCTAAATTCAAGGTGAAAGAGTCAGCTCAGAAGGTTATGGTGACTGTTTTGGGGGAACTCCAAAGGGGTCATCTTGACAGAGTTTCTCAAAGGACATAGGATGATTATGGGGCCTATGAAAAAGTTTTCAGAACATTGAAAACTACACTGGTAAGAAAAAGGTCAGGAAAATTGCAGTGAAGAATTCTTGGAGAGTAGCAAGGGTTGTTCATTGGGAAATCCACCCCATTCAGCCAATAGCCCTGGTCTTGCCACTTTAGACTTTTGTTGTTGTTGTTTCCAGATCTCAAAGAACATTTAAAAGGAATACAATTTGAGTCCCTTGAGAATGTCAAGACTGCCACTTTGATGTAGTGTAAATTGAAGAGTGCAGATTTATTTGTGGAAGGGTTAGAGACATAGAAACACTGCCTTCTGAAGTGTATGGACCTAGATGGAAGATATGTTGAGAAACAACATATCGTTTCACAGTTTGATATTTTTGTTTTATAAAGATTTCTATGATTTTACAGCACCCTGGTGTGGCACTATGCGTTAATGCACCAGACTGCAAAGCCATTTGAACTGCAAGGTTGGCAGTTCAAGCTCACCAGCTGCTACTTAGAAACCCTATAGAGGGTTGCTATGTGTTGGAATCGACTTAACGGCACTTGACAACAACAACCCTCATATATGAAGTCCTTGTATAGCACTGTGGGTTAGTGCACTGGACTGCAAAGTCGGTTTAAACCGCAAAGTTGGTGGTTCAAACTCACCAGTCGCTCCTCAGATACCCTGTACAGGGTCACTATGGGTTGGAACCGACTTGACAACAACCCTCATATATGGGAGCACAGTGGCTCTTTACAATAAACACTGGACTGGGACCCACAAGGTCAGCAGTTTGAGCCCACCAGCAACTCTGCTGGAGAAAGGTGAAGCTTTCTGTTCCCTCAAAGATTTACAGCCTTGGGAGAACAAACAAGATGGTGGAAGTGCATTGAGGAGCTCTGTCGGCAACAACACAGAATACAGGACCATGCTGTCTCAGGGGATGGTCCCAGAACTCTGAACCACATATAAAGGAATATTTAGAAGGTTGGAAGACTTACAGCTGGGGAGTTTGTGGCAGAAGCAAGAAATCCATTGCTTTCTGGTTTGGGATGCTCAGCTGCTCCAGGAGCTGCCATCTAGGGTGGGGCCAAGCGGGGGAAGGATCAGAGCGGCCACAGACGCCTGGCAGAACCGTAGAGATAAAGGTGTGGACATTCTTTTCTTTGGGTATCTGTTCATTGGTCCCTTGCTGTCTGCGCACCTCCATTCGGGTGACTATAGTGATGCCTGAGCTAGTGGGCACCCCAGCCCCACCCTCAGAGGGTTCTACTATGCATGCACACAGATCTCCTCGAAATTTAAAGAGACAGTTTCAAATTAAAACCAAATAGCCACAGCCGACCCTGAACTGTTTCCAACTAGAAAAAGGGCCTGAACGGGGATTGTGGAGTGGAACAAGCAGACAAAAAAGGAAATAGGCTGAAAATTAAATCCTAAGTTACGTCAAAAAGACCAACAGTGGCATCTTGAAATTTCTGAAGAAGAGTGAAAAGGGAAGCCCATTTCCTGATCACATCTACCTGGAGGCAATCAGAAAGCATAAAAAAATACCAAAATACATATCCATCTAAGTATTAAGGCCACATATAACCCCTGAATATGCC